CCCAGACCTCCAGACCCCCTGACCCCCTGACCCCCAGACCCTCCTCTCACCGTCCACAGTCAGGTCGACGCTGCTCACAGTCTGTCCGTGTTGGTCCAGGACCTGGTACGTTCCCTGGTCTGCGTGCCGCAGGTTCTTTATGGTCAGCTGCTCCTGATGAGGGTGTTTTTCCAGACGCTGAGTGTCGTGGTCTCCCCTCACCCAGAGGACAGACCACTCTGAGCTGTTCCTGTCAGCAGGGGGCAGCAGCAGTCAGGCTCTGTTCTCTTTGAGAAATGTTTAATCAAAACCGTGAAACTAAAGGTTAGCCACAGGCTAACTCACCTGCCCTGGAAGGCCACTCTGTCCGAGCGTGGAGTCCTCAGATCCAGGACCAGGTCTTTCCCCGGAGGCCGGGTCTCGGAGGATCTGTAGTCTGGAACGAAGACTGACCACAGTTAGTTCCAGGTTTCAGAGCAGCTATCCTTCGGCTAACTTAGCCTTCGGCTAACTTCCTGCTAACCTATGACAACGCTAAGAACAGTGTGGATGTAAACTGACCAGTGACCAGCAGACTGACCGCCTGCAGAAAGACCTTCTTGCGCCAGGTCCTGGTCCTGGTCCTGCTCTTGATCTGGTCCTCCTCAACCATCATGAAGCTCTCGTACTTCCCCGTGTCCCCGTGTTGGACATCAGTGATGAGGAGCGAACAGTCGCCGGAGCCCAGGTTGTCCTCTGGAACGTTTACTCTGTTCTGGTACTCATCAGCCTGCCACTTTAGCGCCCCCCACTGTTCAAAGACGATCTCTGCGGCGATAGTCCTCCACTGGATGTGGCAGGAAGACGAGTCCAGATCCTCGAGGACCGCCCTCCAGCTGCAGGGGAGAACGGCCCGGTCGCCCACTGGGACGGTGACTGACAGGAAGTGGTCGGCGGAGGAGAAGGAGGTGCAGCCTGGAGGAGAGGAGAAGAAGAAACGGAGGCGTTTACATTCAAGCTAACAGCTAGCCTTCAGCTGGATATTCACAGCTCAACTTCAGATCGCCTGCTGGGTTAGCTCGCTGTGGGCTAATGTGAGCTAACTGTTAGCTACTGTATTTGTCAGCTAACTTTTACTTACCCTTTAATATGGGTTAACGCAGATAAAATGTAGCTACATTTATGGTAAATCCAAAACCGCTAGGATCAAGCTAACCCTGAGATAACACCTGAGCTAAACTGTAGGAGCGGCGTCTGTAGCGGCGTCTGTAGC